TTTCTTAAGACATGCATCTGTGACTAATATGTTATGGGGAATTTTTACCAGCACCAAAGTGTGAAAGACAGGACTTCACGAGGTCTTCCCGGGTCTTTCAATTGTATACAATTCTGTAACTTAAATTTGGGTATTTTTCTCCGTCAGAAAAAAGTTCACGCATTTAGAGGTAGGTATCTCAACAAGGCAGGAAGATCATTAAGGTTGGAAAAGACCTCCAAGATGATCAAGTCCAACTTTTGACCAAATACCACCATACCCTTTAAACTGTACTGTGAAGTGTCATGTCTACTTGTTTTTTGAACACTTTGAAGGATGGTGACTCCACCACTTCCCTGGGGAGCCTGTTCAATACTTAACTATTCTTTCAGTGCAGCAGTTTTTCCTAATATCCAACCTGAACCTCCCCTGAGGCCATTTCCCCTTGTCTGACCCACACCTTGTCACAACCTTCCAGGTAGCTGTAGAGAGCAGTAAGGTCTGCCCTGAGCCTCCTTTTCTCCTTTTCTCCAGCCCCAGCTCCCTCAGCCACTCTTCACAGGACTTATGTTCCAGACTCTTTACCAGCTTCACTGCCCTTCTCTGGAAGGGCACATATCCCCTACACCCGAGCAGGAGTGTGGAACCCCGTGTCCCTCAGTGCACACAATCTCAGGAATGGTCAGAGTGTTTTACTGACATCCTGAACAGCAATTCCAGATTCATCAGCTCGCTGTGGAGCTGAGGAAACACAGCAGTGAAGTGCCCTAACTGAACAGGTCAATTTAAAGGAGCTGAAATGGCATTTTGAGTGCTCCTGCCCTGTATTCCATGTATCCCTGAGGAAAAAGGGAACACATGCTCTTAGTCCTGTTCATATGGTATACACAAACTTGGACTGCTACTTGAAAATGAACATCCCTCTTTCTGAGATGAAGGTGGGGCTGTGAAATGGGACAGGCATGGGGACTAGTTAGTAATACACCTTGGCATCCATTAAGGTAAATCTGCAGTGTGACTGATGACCTGCTGAATCAAACTGAAATTACCTCAATAGACTGAGAAAGGTGAGTAAAAAAGGCAGTAGGGATTATATCTGCCAGCAGGAATCAAGGCGCTCCAACACCATTTGCTAAGAGATTTAAAAATGTGCACATGTGTAAAAATACACACACCTGGTCAAGAAAATACTATTTTTTTTTTTTTTTGTTACAAACCTGGTAACAGTTGTCTATTCTTTATAGACCATAATTTTCATTTACTAACTCAGAAGCCTGTAACTTAGGCTAGGGATTTACTCATTTTTTGTTGTCATCATTTGTGTCTCTACTTATTTAAATGGATATATTGTTAAAGAAACCCTGTACTTACCCCTGTGTAGTAGTCAGCACTTAGGGACATCTCAGTCATGTATTTCCTGCCATCACAGTGCAGGGTTAACTGCTGAGAACAAAGCTATCTTCTGGTAGTTCTGTCCCACCTGAATGATCCACAGCAGCTGTGTGCCACATTTAGCTGGCAGGTTAAACTGACCTTAAGGCTAATGGAGCAGGATAGCTGAAAGGCTCTTGTTTATCTGACCCAACACATACTGTTTCAAGGGTTGTGTAAATATTGAGATGCATCAGCTATTCTAGATAGATTTGTACACCAGCTGCCTGCTTGCTGAAGCACTGAAAGGGCTGTAGTTACAAGTGATTTAAAATTATCTCTTTGTCAGGTCAATTAGAAAGGAAAAATAAGACTTAGAGGACCATGTTAGGATTCTTTTTAAATTCTCAGTTTCAGAATCAACAAGTTGACTACAGGTCACCTACAACCCCTTCACTTCCAGTCAGTAAAAGAGGGTTTATACTGAACTGCATATTTACCTATATGAAAACAGACCAGAAGGAAGACAGTACACAGAATCTGACACTGTCTCACCAAAGACAAATGGTATAACATGTCAGGAAAAGGCTTAGAAAGATAACCTCCATCAAGGAGGTACTCAGGCATGTAACAGAGGCAAGGAATCTGGCCAGTCTTTTTTCTGCACTGGCTCTTTTCCGTCTGCTTACTGGAAAAGTCTCACAGACCTCATCCTTAACAGTACAGATTCCAATATTTGACATGGAAAAGGTCTTATCTTTTATTTTGGGAGATGAATGTGTTTAGAGCATGAAGAAAAACACCTTCCAATGTACACTGTTAAGAGTTTTGTTACTGTACAACACATCCGCATGTAGTTTTTAGCTAAGCATCACTTAGTAGCTCTGTGAGACACCTGTATTTATGAGACATAACACTGACAATTTCTACATATTCAGCTTTGACAAGATGGGACTGAGCATTTATTTCAGTATGATCGGTTCATTTTTTATCACTTCCTAGAACTCAAAATATGCTTTTTCAAATAAAACTGTTTAAAAAATCTAGAAGGTAAAAAAAAAATCTAAGTACACACAAAGGAAAGTGCTCCTGCCTTGAAGAGCATCCAGTATCGCACATGATATGACACATCACTGATGTTAACCAACTGATACAAACCAAAATGAAAAAAAATCCTGTGCATATAAAAATTTCAACAAACTTCCAGTTAAAACATTCTTTCCAGAATCAAAGCACACAGCCTCAAGAAAAGGTGAGAAGAATAAAACAAAATAAAAATCCAATCTCGACAAAAGCCCTGTTTTTCACTAGAGATAGTCAGTTATCAAGTTGAAAATATCTTTCAGCGTTTTAATGTTAAATATAAACACGATTAATTTTTATTGCAAACACATAATAACTTTTAGTATAATACATCATCACTAAGACTCATCTTTTTAGTGCAGAGTTGCTCTTATGTAAAAAGCAGATGTGCCTAAGGCTTCCGAAGTGATTTTTCCAACACCACTCGATTGGTAGATATTGATTGTGTAAACATGTAAGTAACGGATATGCTTTACTATTAAGAGAGAAGAAGAAGGTGCAAAATCTCCTTTGCAGCATTTTAATAATGAATTAACAAAATCTTACTTCCCTATCATGTGCCACATGGAGTGTCCTTGGTAAAGTTACAAAACAATGATGCACACTGGAAGAGTCTGGATGCAAGATGAGTGCAATTAAGTAGGCACTAAACCATCTTTTCATTCTACACTTCATCTGACCATCAATATCCTCTATTTTGTTACCAATAAAAAATGATCACCTTTATAAAGCTCCTGCAAGCATGCTGCATTACAGTAAGAGCAAAGCACAATGTCAGATACTGAAAGAAATACCCAAAAGCCTTTTCCTTGAGAACCCTGAGGTTTGCCTATTCAAATAGCCAAGGTCATCAGTTAAGTCTTTTCTTCCCAGATCAACCTTATATAATACTGGGATTCTGTATTTGATTCCTTGGAATTTAGGCTGGTGCATCTATATTAAAGATAATACTTTTTAGAAATTAGTATCAATGCACATGCAAATCATTTACTCCTTCTATTTCCATATTGCCAACTGATTGATATATATTTATATATATGTACGTATTTAAAAAAATGTAATCTGTTCAATTTCTTATAAGTGTGTGTGTGTGAGTGCACACACAGATAAACATTTATTACTCTGGCCACAAATATCTCAGACAGATCATTAGTCATAACACTGAAATGCCATAGTTTGCCTTGCAGATTTTATTCAAAAACTAAATTATTTATTGTGTCAACTACAATTAAAGCTTTTTGTTACATGCATGTATTACAACTTCCAAGTTTCTCCCCTGAATTATTTGCTTTCTTTGTATTATCTGTGTATTCACAAAAACATTGTTGTCTTCTATGTGGGTGGGAATGACTGTTTGATGTAAAAAGACTGTTTTCAGTCTATGATGAATCATCAACTAATTCCTTCAACAAAAGTTAGAATATCAGCATGCAGAGAATACTGTTACCAAAATATTTCTTGATACTACCAAAGAGGTTTACCGGGTTGCTTACCCCTTTGTGGCATTTCAATAAAATAGGTCCCCTACTAGTACTGCATCTTAAATATAGCACATCGTGAGTGTTCCATGTAAACCCATTTGAAAAGTTGTGCCCTCCTTGCACAGAAGTGTTCCACACTAGAGCAAAGAGGATTTGGACCCTCATGCCCAAACCTCAGCTCAAACTGCACAGCAGCATTTGGTAGAAGAATCAGTTATCAGAACATTCATATCCCATGCTACAAACATGATTTCCGGGCACAATCCAAACCAGAGAGTGACAAGGACCCCGTTGTGTATGGGCAGTGATGAGGAGTCTCACCTACTCCTTGGCTCACAGTCTTCACAAATTAACTCCAGTAGGGAGATCTATATGCAACAGGGTTGAAGGAAGCAAACCCCTGCTTTTTAAAATGCGCAGTTCACTTTTAAAACAATATAACCACATAAAACTAATATCATACACTGCAAACATAAACTGTAAACTAATTTTTCCCAGAAACATATGCTGCACACGTAGCTTTGCTAACTTAAGACCAAATTCTTATCTGTACACAAACTCATTGCCTAAGTACAGAGATACCCTGTGCTACACGAAGAACAGAAACTATTGAAATAATGTGTCCCATACACAACATTCCTCAATTCCAAATAAAAGAAAGCTTATATTTCCTTTGGAGAAGAACTCTCACCAATGCAGTATTGCAGACAGCTGACAGCTGCACTACATTTACCTGAGGAAAATAAACAAACTTAGATAAAGCACTTTCCGTACAGTGCCTATCCGAAATACTTTAAGCACAACTCCCAATGATAACTACAAACAGCTACATAATTCAAACAGCAAATAGGTAGGAGCTTCCAAGTGACTTCCAACTTTTACAATGATGAATACTTTTATATAATTAACAAGAAGTCAAAAGGATACGAGTTTACTAAGTCATTTTGAGCAAGTCACAAACTAAACACCACAGGAGTCCATTTTATCATCTGTTCAATTAAAAATCATCATGCTTATCTAACTATAAAATTTACTTTATTTTGAGAAACAGGAATCATTCTTTAGACACACAGATTTAGTACTTACGGGTAAAATGATTAGAAGTGGATGGATTGACACTATCACCACTGTCAGCACTTTCACTGCTAGAAATGTCATCATCTGATTCCCGCACAGAGGAACAAGGTGAGGAGCCATCAACTTCTTCAAACTTCCTCTTTAAAATTCCACTCATCGCTGCAATGCTGTCACACGCACCTGTAACAGGAACAGAAGCAATGAGACACTGAAACATCCAGCTGCAAAATACGCAGTCATAACCTCCAAAGTAATTTTTACTTAGAAGTACCAATAAGTTGCCACTTCTAGTGTTGAATAACCATTTAGTATGAAATTACACATAATTAATTAGGAGACAGCGAAGCCATAAGAAAAAAAAATCTTAAGTTGTACTTTAACTTGATATGTACGGAGATGGTTATTTCACTAGGATAATGTGTAACAGCTTGCTTTCAGGGAGTATTTTTCCCATTTTGATGTCAATAGCATCCCTGGTTTCTGGATTACATTGTGAAATTTCAAACAAAGAAACAACTTGCAGTTTCTCTTCAAAGAGCCTGACTTGGTCCCTCCCTTGGCTGCCACAGGACAAAGTAATGTTCACAATCAGGGATGAAATTAAGTAAGAAGAAATCATCCTGAACACTACAGTTCCCATTACCAAATATATGTGATCTAACCAGTGTTCACATCTCTCTATAAGAAATCCATCTCATAATTCCAATATTACAGACAGAGAAAAGACAGTGAAGTCACAAAGATCATATACCAATTTAGTGCTCAAAAAATACCTGGAATTCAGAAATTCCTCACCTCAGTCAGAGGCACTAATTGCTTCCCAAATTTTCTCCTCTTCTCCCTCCAGCATGGGTTTATGAAAGGCAGGTTCAGCTTGACTGATCTGAAGCCCTTCTATGACAAAGTGACCAGTCTAGTGTTTGAAGCAAAAGCTGTGGATGTTGTCTACCTGGACTTTACTAAAGCCTTTGGCACCACATTCTTATGGAGAAACCGGCTGCTCACATCTTGTACTCTTCGCCAGGTTAAAAACTGGATGAATGGCCAGGCCAGAGAGTGGGGAGGTGCTGGTCAACAGCAGCTGAACATGAGCCAGCCTGTGCCCAGGTGGGCAAGAAGGCCAATGGCATCTTGGTATCAAAAATAGTGTGGCCAGCAGGACCAGGTCAGTGATTGTTGCCCTGAATTTGGCACTGGTGAGGCTGCACCTCAAGTCCTGTGTTCAGTTCTGGGCCTCTCAGTACAAAAAAAGACACTGAGGTGCTGGAGTGAGTCCAGAGAAGGGCAATGAAGCTGGTGAAGGGTCTAGAGACCTATGAGGATCAGCTGAGGAAGCTGGGGTTACTTAGCCTGGAGAAGAAGAGGTTCAGAGAGGGCCTTCCTGCTCTCTACAACTACCTGAAAGGAGGTTGTAGTCAGGTGGGGGCCAGCCTCTTCTCCCAAGTAACAAGTGACAGGACAAGAGGAAATGGCCTCAAGCTGTGCCAGGGGATGTTTAGATTGGATACTGGGAAAGATTTCTTCACTGAAAGGGTCGTCATGCATTAAAATGGGCTGACCAGCAAAGTGGTTGAGTCACCATTCCTGGAGGTATTTAAAAGATGCCCAGATGTGGCACTTGGGGACATGTTTTAGTGGTACACTTGTCAGTGTTAGGTTAATGGTTGGATTCAATGATCTTTGAGGTCTTTTCCAATTTAAATTATTCTGTGATACCCACATTAAGAAGTAAGATGCCTAATATATTCCTGAGGTTGAATAGAAGATGGTAAAGCAAAGTATTCAAGTGGAAATTTAGCAGCAGAGGTAGAAATATCACATGTGATTACAGAGAAAGTGTGCTCTTAAGTAACTGAGGAGAAATCAAGAACAGCTAAAGCCTGCCCAGAGGACACTCAGCTGCCACCACGCTGCCTGCAGCACTGCAAAGACAAGCACTGCTGACACTTATCCAGACAAAAAAATTTGTCTAGGATTAATGACATACTATACTTGCAGAGGACACACACCTAGCACTACAGATGTGTGTAGCACATGGCTCTGCCAAATCCCACTGAAAGCAAGAAAAATAAAGGAGAAATTTACATTTCTCATGAAATAGAACTTCTTTAAATCCCTGGAGCTACCTTTAGGACTCATTAATTCTGAGCCAATCACATTCTGCTCCTTCCAGAAAGCTGGAACTAGGTAAGCTCCAGAACTCCCTTCCAACCAACATTTCTATGGTTCTACGTTTAAAAGAACCAATAAATTTGTCAGGAAGCTATCATAAGCTGGGCTAAGTGGCTACTGGTAAAGAAGACAAGGTTAAGGCAGAGACTCCAGTACTGGCCATACTGTTTAACAATTAGCACATTTCAGGGTTTTGGCCCCGGCCACCTCACGCTCTCCTGGATAACGCAGGATGAAGCAGGCACCAGAACCATTCCCAGCAGGCAGGCTGGATGAGGGCACCTGGGTTTTGGCAAAGGCCTGACAGCTTAGCCACTGTGGACAAGAGCTGCATCCTGCCACTTGGCAGCAAAAGACAGAGAATGCTGTCCCTAGTCTGTATCTTTCTTATTTTTTCAATTAGTACAGAGGTAGTATCAGTCATGTAGGTGCTATGTTCTGACCCTGTAAGCACAGCACTTCAGCAGATTCTCTGCTATTTTGGCTCACACTTGGTCTCGTACCAAGTAGCTTCAAAGTCTCCTATGCATTCTATAGCTCCCTTCAAGCCCCAACACCAGTTTCTTTCCTGGAAAAAAACAAAGCGACAGCATGAAGAGATCTGCATCCAACTTTTGGCCAGGTATGAAGCTAGAACAGGATCAAGGTGAGTATATGAGGATGAAAACGACAAAAAACCAAAACCAAACCAAACCAAAAAATGCCAAACCAACAAAACAACCATTAAAAAAAAAAAAAGGAAAGAAAAAGCAGGAATCACCAGATTACAGTCTTTAAGACCAATTCAAAATCATAATTCAGCAAACATTGAAGTCTATCTATAGGAAATTCTGTAGCTGAGGTGGCAAGAACATAGTGGTTTCTTTCCATTGCAACAGAAAGTTAGTTCTAATTACTTGTTCTGCTTTGCCGACAAAGCATTCTACCTTGCCTACCAGCTCTTAAGCACAGCAGGAGGGAGTTATGCACAGGTTTAAACTTGCCTTTTTAAGTCAAAACTAGAAATTACATATACATCATACAACATTTTTATTATATTATTTAATTACAAGGACTAGAACAAAAGTTTTATAATAATGGAGTTCATTCACCTCTTAAGAATCAAAATCTCTAAGAAGAACACAAACGATCACGCCAAGTTTAATATCCTGTCTCCAGCAGCAGTCACTACTTAACGCTTCAGTGGAAAGCAATGGGATGCGAAATGCAGCCACAACCACTGCGGACGCACAGCTCTGCTTCCTCATCCTTGCAGTCAATTTCCCCTAAGCATAAGGCTGAAATGCTGCTATATGACAGTGCGCAGCATCTCAGAAATTCATTTGACTTGATCTCCTGAGGCAACAAATTTCTCATTAGTTTACTGGGAGAAAAAAGCCACAACAAAACACAGCTCCTGAAACTATAGCCACAGACCCTTCAAAATCACAGCAGTTTCAATCTTTACAATATTTTGGACAATAAAGAGCAGCAGAAAAGCACCACTGTCTAGCAGCATGCTGTACTAGACAGAACTCCACTTACACAGGTACTCCCCACAAAGTGGAAACAGCTGAAGAGAAGTCACTGACATCTTCTTGCTATATTATAGTGATATTTCCATTTCAATCACCAGCAGTGATTATATTACATGGGAGGTACAGTACATCTGTTGATCCTGTATGGAACTAGGAAATGCCTTTATATTTGGGGGCTGTGCAGGGAGGGAATGGTGATGGAGACACAAATGGAACTGCAGCATCAAGTTCCTCATCCCAAAGCCAGGGAGTCTGTCCAATGGCTGCAGTTGCTGGAAAGCAGCCGGCATGTTCTGCCTACGCTCTCAATCCCACAGCTGTGCACCCTGAACAGCCTTGCCTCTGGGGAGCTTCCCAAAACCACACAGCCTCTTGCTGACACTACCCCACTTTTAATGTGGCAACTAAAATGTTCATCAGACAGAACAAGGAAGTGAACAAGAAACTGTGCAGGTCTGAAAACACTTGTGCACTTGGCTGCTATTCAGGTTCTTCCCAATTTTGAGTTAATGATCCCCAGAACAAGATATGGATTCCCATCAGAACATACAGCCCATGACAGTAATGTGGAGGGAACACTGCTCCCTGATACAGACAACTTGTGTCTGCTCAGGGAACTAGAGCCCCTAGGGACCGAAAACAAAAGCAGAGGGAGCGATGTGCCATCTCAACAGGTACACACTGCCACCTCACAGTTACACCTGCTCATCTACCCCCGGCAAGGGCACAGGGGCATACAAATGGCTGATTACCACACAGGCATGGGGGATTAAAATGTTTATCTCTCAAGCATCTAACCTCCAATTGCCTCACTTCTTACTTCATTAAGGGGACGTGACTTGTGACTTAGGGACTAATCCTGAAACCTTACTCAGAAGCAAAAGACTTGTGGCCCTCAATGACCACAGACAGTCCTTAGTGCAAGGAAAAAAAGCATTACTGCTCAAAGAGAGCCATGGGAAGGATGGGAAATTTTACAGCCATCTCAACACTGCTACGAAACACGCTCCTCCCTACACTATGCTACTGCACCTCTGCATCAGTAAACGAGCTCTGCTGCCACTGTAATTTTGCCTTGCCTTCAAAAACAATGGATTCTTATCAGTTCTAAAACACTTTAAAAGAAAAGGTTTGAAAAACAAAGCAGATGTATTAACTACTAGGCATAATGATAGCTTGGCCTATTAATTTTCAAAATTCTTTTTCTGAACATAAATCACTCTCCCCTTCAACAAAAAGCAATGGAATTCCGTTATTTTATCTTCTGGTCACCTTAAAATCAACTTTTCTCTCTTAACACCCTTAAACTACATCTTTAAAGCATTAAGTTTGCATACGCAACTAACGTAATGTCAAGATTATAATTTAAATATTTAGTCAGAACTTCCCTATGAGGAAATATACCTTGTGCTACACAATGTTTGCTCTAATTGAGAAAGCATTAACACTTGGGATGAGAGTGACGCAGTATTTAGTTGGAGCCTAGATTCT